GTATTTAATAGCCGTCTTGTAATTGTAAATAGGAAATATCAATAACAGATCAATAAAAGTAACACTGATTACTTTTCCACCGGATACTTTTGATTTTTATATGGAAAAAAAATTCAGTTACCTTTTTAAAGCTTTTAAGACCAACAAGTGCAGTAGAATTAATTTTCATATTAAGATGGGAAACAAATTTTATGATATATGTAGATATTGACTAAGCCTAGACTGGCACAAGGCCACCATAACACTTTTCACACAAGGAGGATATTGACTAAGCACTTAAGATAATTGGTTTAGTCTGACAAAAAGCACCAATAATGGATACAAGCTGTTGAACTTACTAGAAATCTGACAATGTTTTACTTAAAAATATAAATAAGTAATTGTCATGTCAATTCTTTGATGATAATCTCTTACAAATATTTTTCCAGTGCCTTCAGGTTATATGAATCATTTCAACTCTTTAAATTTAAAAGTATGTTTTGCTATCAATAAAACTAATGAAATGAAATTATTTGTATTGTGATTTAGTAATTAAGCTATAAAAGGTTCTTAAAAGTCAATATAGGTTTTGTATTTGGCTAAATGATAAATTGGAGTTTGACTTGGTAACTCTTTGGATCTAGTACTTTAAAGTAATTAAAATGATAAGCATTTTTCAAGATGATCATTAATATAAAATTTTCATGAATATTTTAATAATTGTAGACAAAAAGTCAAGTAATTTTATTTAACAATTATTTAAATGCTTTGTTTTAGTAGAAATCAAAAGCAAATTTCTTTTTGTTATTTGACTAAAGATAAGTTGAAAATTTGATTTTGTAGAAGTTGGTCTGTATTCACACATTTAAGCTTTACATTCATTGAATATTTAAACGTCTAGTAAGATGTTTTCAAATATCTTACACTAAGAGAATTGAATATTTTTTTCTTTTTTACTGGTGAGACAGAAAAGTACTAGGAAGAGGAAAAAAGTCAAACAGTTATGTCCTGACCCCAAAAAAGAAGAAGTATTGAGCAAAATTTCATGGGAAAATTAGCTCAGGGGGAGGTGTTGTAATGGAATGTCCCACACTCCTTATCACCTATGCAGACTGACTATATCAGTACACATATATATAGTGAGTACAGGATATACCTGGTGGACTTGCTTTGGCAATTATTTGGAGATTTGTCTCCAGCTATGCTGGTCAAACTCTCTGTCTTCGGGCAGAGAGGAACCCAGACAAGGCTATGCTGAAGGGCAGAGTTTCGTCTGGGGTGGTAGACAGCTACCTGACCCCATGTATACAGAGTCTACAGGGAATTTTTACCCAAGTCTATGGGCTCAATTTTGACCCCACATTAAAAACGGCCTTGTGCCACATCCTGCAATGTGGAAGGGGGTGTAAGGTAAATATCCTTGCTTTGGGAATTACTAGCTTGCTAACTAATTCCCTGTCTTTCAGTAGTGTATTCTTTTTTACAATAAACCTCCCTTTCTTTCATCTACACCTGTGTTGCTGTTCCTTTCACTTGAGTGTCACCTTTGTAACCTTTAAGGATACAACAATTTTGATAGCAATGTTCATCAGATCTTTGGACATCTCTTTGAAGGTCATCACTTAGGTGATGATCTCAGTGCTTTCTATAATTCTTTCTACTCTCTTTACGAATTGAAAAATTAAAAATTTTTTTTATGTTAAATGTTGGAGTAAATCTTTCAAAAACTTACTGATGTTTTTGCAAAGTTTTTGCCTAATTATTAAAAAGAAGAAAAAATGAGAGACAATGAATAAAGGAAAGATTAAAAATCTATAATAAAAATATTAATAAGATTATCTAGTGTGAATTAAAAATATATAAATAATTATACTATGACAATTAATTATAATATAATAATTATAACAATTATAATCATTATTAATATGATTCACCCTTTCTAAATCAATTAAAATCATCTCACTCTTCTCCTCTACCATGTCCAAACGCATGACACCCTCACTATTGGACAAGCAGTCATCATGAGGGTTGATCAAAATTTCAGCTCTCATCCTTTTCAAGCTACAACAATAATATTTTAACTTCTTAACTCTCATTACTAAAATAAGAAAGTAAGAAAACTCCAGACTTCATGTTTTTTCTCCCACTAAATTATCTAGACACACACTTACTTATTTGTACTTGTTGCAGCATTTACCCAAGATCAGTTAAGCCAACTCCGTGAAATGAATTTGTCACATCCCAAATGAAAGCTGACCAAGTTAGGTGGTCAGATGTAATTGAGTCAGTAAGACTAATCAATCAGTTCAAATGGTGAGTTCCAAACATGCTTGGGCACAAGCTGAATTAAACCATGTTTTAGCTGTGCACCAAACCGCTTCTGCTAACTTTGTGGGGGGATCCATACCCAGTTACTTTCTCACAGATGTGCCGTGTCTTCCCTCTGTATCTTCTACAAGTATTTTCATGGCAACTGCTTTGATCAGATACTGTCACTGGTTCTCAAACTGCATGAATTTAAGCATGCTACTAGGTTGGCATCTCGGTCCCACCCTTTCATTGTCAAAACAGTTAAATGTCACCATCTCTTCTACTCCAACAGCTTCTTATCTCACACTTCCCATCTGTGGAACTCTCTTACTTGCTTCCCTGATAGCTATAATATTCAAATATTCAAACGTAATGTCAATCGACATCTGATGATTTGATCTTGTTCCCTGTCCTTCTCTTTCCCTCAAACATCCCTCTTTGCTCTTACACTCTGTAACACCTTGCATGCTAGTGGCACACCTGCTTTGCTTGAGGTGAAATAATTAAAAAAAATGCCTCATGGATGAATTCACCAGGTCATTGTTGAAGAGCATGGCCAAACCACTGACGTCATCTTGTGAGCAGAGCTTGTTGGATAGAGCATAATTTTGCAGTAAGTGTAGATGACAGTGTTCGAGGTGATGTGTTACAAACAGAAGTGATCAAATATCTTTAGCTTGTGAAGGTCCCCAGTTCTCACGGGCCATATTTCCCAGCTGTAGGGAAGGATCATCTTGACCAGAGCCTGGTAGATCCAAACTTTCATGTTATGATCTTGATCTACACCATATCTGAATCCTAAACCGACAGAATACAACATGGGCAGCATCAATGTGGGCATCGATAACCTCTTGTTCTTGACTAGTGGCAGTTATCATCAAACTCAGGTATTTGAAGCAGTTGACTTTATCTAGGGTGTGTCCCTCTTTAAGAATAACTGATAGCTTCTCAAAGGCTATGAATGCAACTATCAGAATATCAAGGTTGGTCATGGTGAAGTTGCTACCTATTGTGACTCCATGAAATTGAGAAAGTGTGCAAGAAGTGATCCAGTCAATCACATAGCTAAATAGCATCAGGGACAGCACACACCCTTGTTGAACACCAGAGTGGATGTCAAAGAAAGATTCTTGACCATAGGCATGGATTTCTGTGTGAGTGGACCAGTAGTATGCCTTCAAGAGGAATTCTGTTGACATGCACAACTTCCCAGGGGGCACTGTTATAAAAAGCTGCAGTAAAGTTAACAAAGCAAACGACTGTGTTTCTGGTAGCAACAGTGGTGCTCAAACAGTTGCCTTAATGTGAAGATCTGGTCAATGCAGCAATGACTAGGGTGAAATTCACACTGATTTGGTCTTTTCTGTGATTGTGTTTGCTGTGAAACCTTCAAAGTAACATGGGAGAGAAGACTTGTGGCAATGTCAGTTAGGTTGATCCCTTGATAATTACTACAGCAGCATTTGTTGCCCTTCTTGAAAAAGGGCAAAAGGATTGCATCATTCCAGTCTAGAGGGATAGCTTCAGAATCCCAAACATGTGTAATGATCTGATGTTGCCACGGGAACAAACACACTGGAACAGCATTTGAAGATTTCAGCCAGCAGACCATCTTCTCCAGCAGCTTTATAATTTTTAAGCTTCTGGATAATGTCTCAGACTTCAATTCCTTGCCTATTCAGATTGACTACATTCTCATTAAGATCAGATCAGCTTCTAGCATCCTGGATTTCTGTGCATATCATGGTGCCAAGACTGGTAATGAGAATGGCTCTAATCATGTCCTGATGTGTGCAAAGCTCTGCCTCCACCTTAGGGAAAAAAAAAATGACTAAAAGAGCTCAGGATTGTTTCAGCTATCAGCCAGTGGCCTTGAAACACTACATTTGGCTGATCGTTACCCTAAGGACAATTTGGCAGACAGGTTGTGATGGAAATGCTAAGGATTGGAAAAGATGGATGAAGGATTGTATCTCAGGTGAGATAATCATGCAAGACAAGACAAAGCAGGCTTGCTGTTGGTTCTAATGACTACTGCCTACCACCACACAGCTTACCTCATGTACTAGCAAGAATCTTGAGTCAAAATAACAAGGTCATTCACTACAGACACAGATATAAAAAAAACATAAAAGAAAGACATGAGAGACAGTAATACTAAGTAAATTGTAGATAGTCTAACACCACATAACAAGAAATACTTGTTTTGCTGTTTCCATGTCTTATTGTTGCTCATTTCCTACAAGCATTTTTGTGTGTATAAATATTAGGGAGTTTATAATTATTTACCCAGAGTCATAAGTCCCCAAAAATACAATAGCTAAGAATTCTCTTAAAAGAAAAACCCGTCATGTATAAAAAAAAAATCTGTTTTAAAAACATATCTCTTAACATCAGAGTCCAGGTATCCAAGTTTGTATAAAATATATTTCCAATAAATGGATTCATACTTATTTACATAAGACATTTTCTACCTATCTTCAGGAAAGGTTAATACATTAAATGATAAATGTGGGTGTGTATCAAAAGATCCAATAGAGGGTGATAAGTGCAGAAGTTTGTAAGGATCAGCGTTACTTGAAAGTGGACAAAATTGACGAAGTTCACTCAAGCAAAGATATCAAAATGATTCTCTGGCAGAGAGAAGGGACACATTTTTCTTGGAAAAGTGGAGCAATGACCTTTTAAAAGGTTAACCATATACAAATGTACTAGAAAGAACAAAGGGAGGGAGAAAAGAAAAAGGCAGAGAGACATGAATATAATTCAAGAACCACAGAGAGAGAAAGAGTGAGAGTCAGAGAGAGAGTGTGCAAGAGGTAGCAGAGAGAGAGAGAGAGAGAGAAAGAGAGGGTGTGCAAAGAGAAAGAGGTGGCAGGCCAGAGAGAGAGAGGGGAGTGTGCAAGAGGCAGCCTAGAAAGAGAGAGCATGCAAGAGGCAGGCCAGAGAGAGAGAGGGATAGAGGAAGAGAGAGAAGAGGCAGCCCAGAAAGCATGCAAGAGAAAAAGGGAGGGGAGGAGGCAGTAGAGAGAGAGAGGCAGCCCAGGAGAGAGAGAGGAAGAGAGCATGCACAAGAGAGACAGAGAGCAAGAGGTATACAGAGAGAGAAGAGAGAGGGAGAGGAGAGAGAGCACATACAGAGAGAGAGAGGTGGCAAGAGAGAGAGAGAGAGAGAGTGCAAGAGGCAAGAGAAAAAGAGCATGCAAGAGGCTGAAAAGAGAGAGCAAGATGCAAGAGAAAAAGTGCAAGAGGCTTTGCAGGAGGCAGCAAACAGAGAGAGAGAGCAAGAGGCTGCACAGAGAGAGAGAGGCAAGAGGCTGCACAGAGAGAGAGGGCAAAAGAGGCTGTAATAGAGAAAGAGAGAGCATGCAAGGCAGTACAAAAAGAGAGAGGAGGCAGCAAAGAGAGAGAGAGACAGAGAGAGAGGCAAAACAAAAGGGGAGAGAACAGAGAGAGAGAGAGAGTATGCAAGTGGCTGCACACAGAGAGAGAGGGGCACACAGAGAGAGAGAGAGGCTGCACAGAGAGAGAGAGAGAGAGCATGCAAGTGGCTGCACACAGAGAGAGAGAGAGCATGCAAGAGGCTGCACACAGAGAGAGAGAGAGCAAAAGAGGCTGCACAGAGAGAGAGAGAAGAGGCTGCACAGAGAGAGAGAGAGAGAGAGAGGCTGCTGCACATAGAGAGAGTGCAAGGCTGCACACAGAGAGAGAGCGTGCAAGAGGCAGCACACAGAGAGAGAGCGTGCAAGAGGCAGCACACAGAGAGAGAGAGCGCAAGAGAAAACAGAGAGGAGGCAAACAGAGAGAGAGCGTGGGTAAGAGGCAAACACAGAGAAGAGGCAGCACAGAAGAAAGAGAGAGCATGCAAGCACACAGAGAGAGAAAAGAGAGAGCTTGAGAGGAGAGCAGCAAACTGCAGGAGAGAGAGAGAGAGCAGAGAGAGAGAGTGCAAGAGGTGTAGAGAGGCGTGCAAAAGGCTGCAGAGAGAGAGGGAGAGAGCACATGAGAGAGAAAAGGAAGAACAGAGAGAGAGAGCATGCAAGTGGCTGCACACAGAGAGAGAGAGGGAGCAAGAGGCTGCACAGAGAGAGAGAGAGGCTGCACACAGAGAGAGAGCATGCAAAAGAAGAACAGAGAGAGAGAGCGTGTAAGAGGCAGCACAGAGAGGGAGAGAGCATGCAAGAGGCAGCACAGAGAGAGAGAGAGCATGCAAGAGGCTGCACACAGAGAGAGAGAGCATGCAAGAGGCTGCACACAGAGAGAGAGAGAGAGGCTGCACACAGAGAGAGAGAGAGAGAGCGTGCAAGAGGCTGCACACAGAGAGAGAGAGAGCGTGCAAGAGGCTGCACACAGAGAGAGAGAGGCTGCACATAGAGAGAGGCTGCACACAGAGAGCACACAGAGAGAGAGAGAGAGAAGAGGCTGCACACAGAGAGAGAGAGAGCGTGCAAGAGGCAGCAGAGAGAGAGAGAGAGCAAAAGAGGCTGCACAGAGAAGAGGCATGCACACAGAGAGAAGAGAGAGAGAGAGAGAGAATTTGCAGGAATACAAGAGAGAGAGAGATGCAAAAGGGAAGAACAGAGAGAGAGAGAGAGAGAAAGGAAGAACACAGAGAGAGAGAGAGAGAGAGCAAGAGGCTGCACAGAGAGAGAGAGAGCTGCAAGAGGCACAGAGAGAGAGAGAGAGCGTGCAAGAGGCTGCACAGAGAGAGAGAAGAGGCAAGAGGCTGCACACAGAGAGAGAGAGAGGTGCAGAGAGAGAGCAAGACACAGAGAGAGAGAGAGAGAGCAAGAGGCTGCACAGAGAGAGAGAGAGCAAGAGGCAGCACACAGAGAGAGAGAGCATGCAAGAGGCAAAAGAGAAGAGGCAGCACAGAGAGAGAGAGCTTGCAAGAGGCAGCATTGCAAGAGGCAGCACAGAGAGAGAGAGAGCATGAACACAGAGAGAGAGAGGCAGGCTGCACACAGAGAGAGAGAGAGTATTCAAGAGGCTGCAGAGAGAGAGAGACAAGAGGTTGCAGAGAGAGAGAGACAGTGCAAGAGGTTCCAGAGAGAGCAGCACACAGAGAGAGAGAGAGAGAGCCTGCACACAGAGAGAGAGAGAGAGAGAGGCAAGAGGCTGCACAGAGAGAGAGAGAGCAAGAGCCACAGAGAGAGAGAGAGAGAGAGTGCAAGAGGCAGCACACAGAGAGAGAGAGAGAGCCTGCACACAGAGAGAGAGAGGCAGCAAGACAGAGAGAGAGAGAGAGCGTGTGGCAAGAGGCTGCACACAGAGAGAGAGAGGCAAGAGGCTGCACACAGAGAGAGAGAGAGCAAGAGGCTGCACACAGAGAGAGAGAGAGAGCACTGTGTAAAGAGGTTGCACAGAGAGAGAGAGCAAAAGAGCACACTGTGCCACAGAGAGAGAGAGAGTCTGCAAGAGAGAGAGGCAGCAGCAAAAAGAGAGAGAGAGAGGCAGCAAATAGAGAGAGAGCAAGAGGCAGCAGAGAGAGAGAGAGGAGAGCCTGCAACAGAGAGAGGCGTGGCAAGAGGCACACAGAGAGAGAGCAGTAGAGAGAGCAGTAAACAGAGAGAGAGGTAAGAGGCACACAGAGAGAGAGAGAGAGTAAGAGGCAGCAACAGAGAGAGAGGCAGCACACAGAGAGAGAGAGAGAGCCTGCAAGAGGCAGCAACACAGAGAGAGCAGAGAGAGCGTGGTAAGAGGTGCACAGAGAGAGACAGAGTATTCAAGAGGAGCACAGAGAGAGAGAGAGAGCCTGCAAGAGGCACACAGAGAGAGAGAGAGAGCTCTGCAAGAGAGAGAGAGAGAGAGCTGCAAGAGGCAAGTAGAGAGAGAGAGAGCCTGCAAGAGGCAGCACACAGAGAGAGAGAGAGCCTGCAAGAGGCAGCACAGAGAGAGAGAGAGAGAGAGCCAGAGAGAGAGAGCACACAAAAGAAGCAGCACACAGAGAGAGAGAGCCTGCAAGAGGCAGCACACAGAGAGAGAGAGAGAGCCAGAGAGAGAGAGAGGCAGCAGAGAGAGAGAGAGAGAAGCAGCACACAGAGAGAGAGAGCAAGAGGCAGCACACAGAGAGAGAGAGACAGTGAGAGAAAGAGCCTGCAGGCAGCACAGAGGAGAGAGTGAGTCAGCACAGAGAGAGAATGCAAGAGGCCAGCCCAGTGAGAGTGAGTTTGATGTTATGGGTCCAGTGGGTTTTGAGAGATCAAGTGGCAAAGCTATATTGCAAAACAAATCCTATTGAGCTTGAGACAGTGAAAACAAAAACAAGAAATGTTGTCCTAGTTTCATTTTTTTAACACACACAAAATCAATGACTGAAAAAAAATCTCAGCAGTAAAAAATTCTATTCATAAATTTTTCAAAAGTAAAAGGTAAGCCGATCATATAAAAAAGCAGAAGAATCAGATAAATACATTTTTGTCAAGTTTAATTAATTTTGATATTTTGCTTCAAAACTGTAAATCTCTCAAGTGTCATTAATGGGAAATAATTCAATCCAATTAAATATCATAATTATTTTTTTTTTCTTTCACCAGTAAACAAATTATAAATTTTCTGTTTATGAAAGTAACATTACATTTGTGTTATCATTTTAAATGCCAAAAGGTTAAAAGTCAAGTGTTTTGGGGAAAAAAAGAAAATTTACAGAAAAAAAAGAAAACAAAACAAACATCAGAAAATAAAAAAAACAAAAAACAACAATAATGTAGAAAAGTAAAATCAGGACAAAAAGCTAAATATATAAGTAATATTTTTTAAAAAGAAAAGAAAGCATTAAAATTGATGAGGAAAAAAAATTTTCCACAATGTGTGTGTGTGTATATATATATATATATATATATATAAAAAAAAGAAAAAACAAAAGCACCTTCTAAAAATGGAAAATAAAAAAATGAGCTGAAATAACCAATCATGTCATACATCGAGATATTTCGCTTTCTTGTAAAATTACACAACTTTGGATTTTGTAAAATTTCAATCAAGTAAGTAAAAAAAAAAAAATGATTTAGGTAATCCTGGGATTGTGCTTATGATTTTAAAGGTTATATTATCACATTCATGCACATAATAATATCTAAAGGGGGCAAGCAGATTGAAATATTAATAGTCTTGTACCAGATTCTTTGAAATTGGCTTCTATATTTTACCATTTATGTGATATCTGTCCTCCTTCACTCTCTTCAAAGATGAAGAAAAGACTTGAAGCAACGGAGATGTGGTTCTACAGAAGGATGCTGAGGATATCATGGACCAAGCGTGTGTGCAATGATGTGGTCTTAGAGAGGATGCAAATAAGGAGGAGGCTTATACTTAACAACAGGAAGAGGCAGCTGAAGTTTCTGGGACATGTAATGAGAAAGGAGGGCCTGGAGAATCTGATACTCACAGGTCGAATAGAGGGAAAGAGAGACAAGGGGAAGCAATGCATGATATACCTGGTGGGCTTAAGCAAGTGGATGACAGAATGTGGTCCGGGGGAGGTATCAGAGAGACAAAACTCATTGAGAGCTACAAGGCAAAGGGGAGGGAGTGGAGCACCATGATCATCTATGTCCTGAAAGGACATGTCATGTAAAAAGAAAGGAGAGTCTTGTTACATGTTTGAAGAACTCGTGTAAAATAGGAAAGTTCTATAGAAAGAGCTTTATTTAAAGACTGATTATGAAAAACATACAAAAACAAGAAGAGGCATAAGCTCTGCTTATCTATTGATTAATGATGCATCAGGTGTTTAGAAGAGAAACACTGTGTTGTATCTGCACAAAGGTTCCAAAATGATTTTGTCTGATATGAGCCTTCAACATTTACCAATAATAAAGAGAACTAAGTTCACTTCTACCTTGAGATCTATTTGGACATGATAAACATTCCTGTAGAAGAATTCAAATTTACTTTATGCTTGGAAGATATTAATACTTTATTTTCTGCTTTCTTTAGCCAGTTTGTTTATCGAGATTCTGTTCTTGGTACAAGCAATTATAATACACTGTAATCATTCAAATCAATGAACATAGCAATGGCCAAGTTTCTTGTGGGTTTTTATATCTTACTCAAAATGAGACTTGCTTCTTATTGCTTCCTTGTTCAGATGAAATTGGAACAGGCATTAAACTAAACATTATGACATAGCAAAATTTATGGGCAGAAAATAAGCATAAAATAGGCCAGCATATTTTGAGTATAAAATTGGATAAAGAAACAATATGAGTTATTTCAGAGTTTTCTTTATAAAGACAATTAGAAAAAGAATTTATTTACTATAAAAGTAATTACTAAATTCTGATAATAACTGCTTCAAAAAAAAAAAAAAATGACTGATTGAACTCCTGATGCTAAACATAATTGATCAAGGGAAGTGAACTAGTGCTTTCCATCTTTGAGGTTAATATTTTCAAAATATTATGAAAAAAAATATGATGCTTACTTTCTAAATATGTTAGTCTAGTTTGACTTTCAAATCAGCTTATCCGAGAGAGAGAGAGAGAGAAAGAGAGAGAAGAGAGAGAGAAAGAAAGAGAGAGAGAGAGAGAAGAGAAAGAAAGAGAGAGAAAGAGAGAGAGAAAGAAAGAAAGAGAGAGAGAAAGAAAAAGAGAGAGAGAGAAAGAAAGAGAGAGAGAGAGGAAAGAGAAAGAGAGAGAGGAGAGAGAAAGAGAGAGAGAGAGAGGAGAGAGAGGTGGGCAGAGAGAGAGAGAGAGGGCAAGAGAGAGAGAGAGAGGAGAAGAGAGAGAGAGCAAGAGGGCAAGAGAGAGTGGAGGGCAAGAGAGAGAGAGAGGGGGCAAGAGAGAGAGAGAGAGAGGGGGGCAAGAGAGAGAGAGAGAGAGAGAGTGAGGGCAAGAGAGAGAGAGAGAGTGTGGGCAAGAGAGAGAGAGAGGGCAGAGAGAAGGGCAAGAGAGAGAGAGAGTGTGGGAAAAGAGAGAGAGAGGGCAAGAGAGGGCAAGAGAGAGAGAGTGTGGGCAAGAGAGAGAGAGTGTGGGCAAGAGAGAGAGAGAGTGTGGGCAAGAGAGAGAGAGTGTGGGCAAGAGAGAGAGAGTGTGGGCAAGAGAGAGAGTGGGCAAGAGAGAGAGAGCATGTGTGTGTGTAAAGAAGGAAAAGGTTCTGCTGTTTGTGTAATGGCAGCAGATTTATGGAAACAAGGTTTTTGCCAAGATAAGAGCCAATGTGAATGAGGAAAAAAAAGAAAGAGGTGAGTAACTGGCGATTATGTTTGCAATGGATCTTGTTGGATTTGACAAATGCTGACAATAAAACATTGACTGACCCCAGAGGAAATCAAAAAGTGTCCAACTGAAGAATAGAAAGATGAACTGGGAAAGAAAGAAAAGGGATAGACTTTGAATGTTAAATGGGATTAGAGATTAATAGTGTCAGAAACAGAGAGAATAACATTTAAAAAGGAGATAGCTACAGAGAGAGCAGAAAAGTGAGGGACAGTGCAGGAGTGGGATACAAAAGAGAGAGGGAGAGAGAGAGAGAAGGGGCAGACAGAGCAGGATACAAGAGAGAGGGTCAGGCAGAAAGGGATACAATTGAGAGGGGCAAACAGGGATAAAAGGGAGAGGGGGCAGACAAAGTGGGATACAAGGGAGAGAGGGAGGGTCAGGCAGACAGATACAAAGGAGAGAGAAGGAGGGTCAGGCAGAAAAGCAGACAGAGAAGCATACAAGAGAGAGAGAGACTGGCAGATAATGAAAGATACAACAGAGAAGGACAGAAAAAACAGGGGAAGAAGGGTGAGTTTAGTTTAGTTGAGAAAGAGAGAGAGAGAGAGAGAATGGTTCCATGCAAGAGAAAATGAAGAGTTTCAATGAAAGTTCATTATTCGGGTAATGAATATTCAATATATTTTGTAATTAGAAAATTACATGATTAGAATGGTCTTAACAGGATTAGTATTAAAAATAAAATTGGCATTTGACCTTAAATGAATGAAAATAGAGTGAATACTCACAGAAAAATTCCTAAGGGCATTCATGTCTCTCCTGCTTGTACAGTTTTATCTTATTTTTAAACTTATTCCGGTTTTAATTGGCAGAGGAACTAATTTTGAGAACCTGAGATTTTCTAACATCCGATTATATTGGACAGTTTTTTTTCCTACAAGCTATTTGAAGAGAGACACACAAAATTTCAGGTTAAATCAGACAACAAACAAAAGAGTATAGCACATTATTTCTTTTATGTGGATCATAGTCAATATGAAAAATCCTTTTCTCATACATTGTTATTTCAAAATATGACTATTTTGTAAATTGTGGAATTATTTTTGCTAACAAAATGCTGGCAAATTTAAGAATTAATTTTATTACAATGCTCAGTGATTGGGAACTAGCCAGAAATGAGCAAGAGTTAATTAGCCCTGATTTGAAGGCTGAAACAATGAGTTGAAACCTTGTCATTAATAAATTTTTCAGATTACTATCCTTATCTTTTTTGTTTATGTTACTGCATCTTGATGACATTTGGGATAAATCAGGTGGAAAAGGCAAGAAACTTTCAAGTCTTCAAGTTAAAAAAAATTGTTGAGATGAGCATCATTATGAGTCAGAATGGTGAAATAAAGTACTCAACTGGTAGGTTTTAAAAAGGAATATGCAGACCCAACATTAATGCCTTTTCCCTCACAAAGGTCAAATCCTGAAAACTTCCTTTCATTCATAGCTGGTGATTTCAGCAAATACACATGACATTTTTCTATATTGACTCAAATTTCAGGCACAGCAAAAAAACTTTTCATTAGCATAAGACTTTAGAGTTTAAGCTAAAGTTGATTTTGAATGCTGATTTTAAGGCCATCTCTATTGAAAATCTTTTTCTACTCATTTTTCTTGTGTCACACTAAGCAAAGAAAATCTCAAGTGCATGATACATCTTTGTGGTTCTGTTGTATAAATGAAAAAAAAAAAAAAAATGAAAAAATATTTGGCAGAAATAAAGAATTCTGTAAAGAGAGATTCCTGAAGGTGACTGCAGAGTTTACTGGCTGAACATTTGCCAAAAGGAAGAAAGAAACTAATTAGTATAATTCATAAAATAATGACTATATGTCCGAACTTCAAATATTATTAAGAAAGGTCAGATAATATATTCTGGTCAAAATGAAGAGGATACAGCCTTCTTTTTAGAACTGGTTTTAAGCAAATCCTGTTTTATTCATCATTTTATTAAACGTACAAAATGTGCTGCTTTCTAGGGTTATGTTTTACAAGATAATTGACCAAATAAGTCAGTCAGTCTGTGTTGTGCGTTTGACTCATAAAGTGTTCTACACTTGTGGCCTTGAGCCAAACTAAATACTGAATCATTTTTGTTATAACTAATAAATTATTGCCCTTTAATTAAAAGATAACAAAGCAAGAATAATGTTTGAACAAAAATCAGAAAGTTTAATTATTTTGTTGCTGCTTGGTTCCTGTACAAAAATTTAATGGTAAGCAATTACATTTGGCTTATTGGGATATGCTAACCAAAGTAAGTTAGGAAAATATAAATAATTAAAAAAAAACAAAAAAACACTTCACAAAATAATAAAAAGGGATTACAATTTAAAAAAAAAATTTCCTCAATATTTTAAACAAACAACAAAGGATTTTCTAAGAATTATGCTTCATGATAAAAAGATCTAAGTTCTGGTAAAAAAAAAAAAATGTGCCTAAATTCATAGCTTACTGTTATTTTTCTCTTATTTTATCCCTTATTATTTCAAACAAGAACTGATTTTCATTACCTCCAACTCTTGTGATAACCATTCTAGACCTCCCCCATGAGAAACTGAAAGATTCCAGACCTCCTCCACTGAAACATTCTAAACCTTCCCCTCCAAGAGACTGAAACATTCCAGACCTCCCTACTGCAATAGACTGAAACAGTCCAGACCTCCCCCACCACCGCAAGAGATTGAAACAGACCCCACCTCTCCCACAAGAGAATGAAACATTCTAGATCCACCCTGCAAGAGACTGAAATATTCTAGATCCCCCTCCACCGCAAGAGGCTGAAACAGTCCAGATCCCCCCCCACCACCACCACGTGAGAGACTGAACAATTTTTCCTCTTCATTTTGCTAACAATTCAGCTTCTCACACTTAAAAATAATAACTTAAAAAAAAAAAAAAAAAAAAAAAAAAAGATTATCTCCACAAATAAAACTCTAGAGTTCTCACATTTATAAAATAATTTTCCCATTATATTAGAACCATTTTCCTGTCCGCATCACCAAGTTTATTCCAAAATGGTGACTGTAAAGACAATAAAGGTGATAATGGTGACAATCAAAGAGAAAGCAATGGTACTTTGTCTAATAAAGACAAAATTCAAATTGTCCAGACACCAATCGTGTTAAAGGAAATCCTTTTGGCCTATTTAAATATTCGACAGACAATCAAATTTATGAATTATTTGAAAGCACAGACTTCAAATTGCCTTCAGTAACTTTTGAGCTTATATTAATAAACATTGAAGCCATTTTATGTGTCTGCCTTATTAAAGTCTTCCAATATTCTTCTTTAATATGTAATATCCAAACGTTATTTGGTCAAAGCAGGAAAGATTAGACACTCTTTTAAAAAAAGGTATTGCTTACCTTACCAAGGTTTTGTTATTGACTCTGGCAGAGACAATTGTAATTCCTTTAATTAGTTTGGAAGAATTTAACATTTATCTTAAAGAATTCAAAATTTGTAAAATCATTATCCACTGTTATGAAATAATATTTTTCTCAGAAAAGAGAAATTTCTGATTCTTTCACTACTGATTCAGATATAACCTTTAATCCTTAAATATCTTTTAATCTTTATATCCTTTATCTTTTATTCATTCTTTCACTTCTGATTCAGAATAACCAAAGGTTAAGTCTATATTCTCCATTACTGTCAAGAGCATATAAAGTCTATAAAATGCTTCAGTAATATTCAAAATTTCATAAATTAGCTAAAGTGATTTTAGAGCTTTGTCAAAAAGTCACATAAGAGGATAAATGAAAACAGTAGGCTCCAGGAAAAAGTAAAAAAAAAAAAGTCTGCAATAAAGTTTAAAATTTGTGGATGTAACAGAAAAAAAAAAGAAATCACTAGGTACAAAAAGAGTATTTTAACCCAATCACCATTTCTGTTTATCTCCCTTAAAAACAGATGAGATTTTGCAGCTGGTCATTTAACTTAGAAGTTCTAGCCTGACAACACAAATATACATTTATGAATAAAAATGACAATAGGAAAACTAGTAATTGCTGACACATTTCGTCCAATGTGGACTTTATCAAAGCAAAATATAAAATGAATTTAATTGAACAAGGTAACTAATAAAAACAAAAAACAGAAGGTTCCTAGCAACTTGAATGTAGAAAAACGCTATTTTCATATTTTTAACTGAAAAATAA